AGAGAGAGAGAGAGAGAGAGAGAGAGAGAGAGAGAGAGAGAGAGAGAGAGAGAGAGAGAAGGGAGAAAAAAATAATAGTACATGATATAATCTTCAAAACCTAAACGCAACGAGTTGTAAAATATAACGTGAAGAATATAACAGGAGAATGCTGAAGCATTTGCGTGGCGAGTGACCCGACTAGTTTCAACCGACTGCCGCAATCAACATTTTTCAGGGGTCGTCTGGTATCACTACAATGTTCTATGACATAGTAGTTTCGATCCTAAGACAATAATAACAATGATAGGTCCGACGGGTACCCAAAGACCTCAAAGTAGAACCGAAAGCAACAGACATTCGAGTTTCTAAGTCGGACAACACCATAAAAAAAAGGTTAAAACAATTTAAATCTAACGCAAAAATAATCTTTATCCTGCAGACAAATCCTACAATAAGTTAAAGGTGGTCAAAAACATTGTAGAATGAATGACGATAATTCAAAACGTGAGAAGCACATATTGAAATATCTAATCAAGGAACCCGTCTCATTTAGAAAAGCATAAAGAAAGAGGTCTCACTGCACAATTCTACCCGATAAAGCATAAAGACAGGTCCCACGAAGGTTTCATAAGCAGACCTTCAGTATGGCCAACAAGAGCGATTATGGTTTGAGAATGTGAGGTTGATCCGACAATATTTACACCAAGTACTTTAAGGGTTTTTTTAGGACCTAACCTTTTTCCGGTCGACCATGACGCGTTGTTTTTGATGCAAGGTTGTGAAAATATTTGTGGTCGTCGTTGTTGTTATTCGCCAACATGAGGGAATTGATAAAACAAATGGCACATCAATTATGAAAGTTCCTATTTGCACGAGTGTGTGAGATGCAATTTTTCTTTTTTGTTCCTCTTGGAGCGACCACATCCTTTTCGTGACTTTTACATTAAAAAAACGTAGTTGGATCAGCCCCAAAGTTCCCATCGAGTAAGCTGCCCCAAAGTTCTAATCGAGTAAGTTGCTTACGCGTGCCTTGCAAATGTTCACGGGGACTAGCAAGTGAAAACGGATCCCAACACCACAACAATTTTGGGGACTCCTAGCTTTTCGCTACCAAATCAGGGAGACTGGCCTGAAAGAGAAAGCAAATGTCCGTTTGTTTAGAACTCCATACTATTGCAGTGCCTCCTTTGCTCACGAGATGGCTCAACCTAGAAGGTAGGAGGAGGGCCTACTCTCTCGGTCGAGCCATCCAACGACCTCGTCCCACCAGCAACATCCTTTTCTCAATGCCGAAATCTGGACATGTTTGTGGAAAGGTGCGGTTGAGAAAACTAAATGCGATTTCTGCACATCTCCACAAACACGTTCAGATTGGGGCTTTGAGGAAACTCAACGCTGCTAGCGGCGCGAGACTCCTGTGCGGAAGCATCCAAATCGAGTGCCCAATTTTTTTTTGTAGGAATTTTTTTTTTTTTTTTTGAAAAATTGTTGAAATGCCCCTGAAAGTTGTCTGACCTGCAGATGGCAAAAGAAATGCACGAACCCCTGCAGCCCGGGGCCAGGATATATGGCAAAATTGCCTATGAGCAGGAAGGGGACAAATTCAAAAGTTTGGGCATCTCAACATACGCCTGTGTTTCAGGGGTATCTAATGAAATACCCAAACTTCTAGGGATATTTCAATATTTTCCTTTTTCTTAGTCCCTCTAGATTTGAACTTAGTTGTTCATTTCAACAGTTCATATGGTGTACCAACTGAGGGCATACTCACACTGCGACCCCAAATCCGCAAAATAGGGCCTCACTGCACTACTCTTGAATCTTGAGAAATCAAAAGTTTATCACCGCTGCATTACTCTTGATGCCGCTTCCTGAAATTCCGTTAAAGAGTTGTCAGCTTCACTCTCGAAAATGTCGAGAGTGAGTCATCGCTGCACTAACTGTCGAAAGTGCTCTTGGTCAGACCCTTCAAGAGGTGTCAGAAACGGCCCATCGGATGAGCTCTTGAAGCTTCCACAGTTTCCACCTGCAGGGGCGTTTTTTTCAAACGAGGCCGACCAGACCCTTCGTAAGGTTTGCAAATTCAAGAGTTGGTCTCCAGTCTCGGTGGACAAATCGTCGTTGCCCTATTGTGTAGTGTCTTTTCATTTTTGTCTGACAGTAAAAAATGCTAACGACAGTTGAGAGTCCGGAGTAAGGCCTGGACCTCACTGCCCGGCGGCTGGAAACAAATGTTGGCCACAAAAAAACGGTCGAGCGTGGTTAGAAAGAACTTGCCGCGTTTCGTTGGGACCCCACCGCCACCCTTGACTCTCGGCACTGGAAACGGATGGATATGCCCGAATAGGAAATCCCCCCGAGGTGTTTCCTGAAAAGGCAAGTCGGACAGGGTCTGTGGTCCATGGCCTTCTATCGCCCTGCACCAGGACATGTCTGTGTGTGGTCATGCCCGACGACAAAAACATGAGCATGTCCACGGCCTCCAAAAAAAGGTCCTCGACGAGGGTGCGTGGTCCACGGATATCCCCCCCCCCTGCTCGTCTGGACGCCTCCTTGGAAATGGAATGGAAAGCGGTCGGGATTGAATTTCCAGACCGCCGACCGTGTGGAAACGCCCCGTCTGCATTTCCACGACCTGCTTCCAAGCACGGTGGGGTCTGGAATTCCTTTCCAGGCCAACTTTCCACACGGGTTTCCAACACCAGTGGGGTCTGGAAAACACTACAGCGCCCGAACTTTTCCAGGCCGCCAGGCAATGGAGTCCAGTTCTAAGTGCAACGAGGACAACACTTGATGCCAATCCAGGAGTCTGACAGCGCTAGACTTACTCTTGAAATTTTTCATATGTCTAGCGTAGTGCAGCAAGACCCATATGCGGATTTGGGAAGGGTCTATTTGAGGTTTTGGGCATGGTTCGGGTCGCATTGATGCACCTTTTCAGATGGGACAAGGCCCTTGCCGTCTGGAGCAATGGCGATCTGGTACTTTGCTGGTCACACGGAGCCATCCACAAATTGTGCAAGAACTTTCTTGAACGAATTTTCACCAATTCTCGAAGAAAATGCTACAAAATAAATAGGGCATTTGTGGTCACCTCCACAGGTGACAGCAAATTCCCTTGCCGTGGCGCTACACAAACCGTGACAACTGGGCACAGGAATGGTACACTTAGGACTTCGGCAAATCTGTGTGACCGGTCCTCTACCTTCTTTTGGGGGAATTTGGAATTATAATCCCAATGTTTTTTTTTTTGTTTTTTGTTTTTTTTTTAGTCCCAATGTGAGTATGCCCTGAGAGCATACACACAGTACCTATAGCACAATCTTAAATGTATCTACCGTTATTACGACCTCACTTGGGTGTATCTCACCCCAATTCTGACCAGAATATGTAAAAGAGTCCTACTACGGTAGTGTTGAGCTAGGCCTGTAGGTGGAGTAGTAAGAGTGGGAAAAGAGCGAGATCCCACTCGCAAAGAGCATTGTATTGAACTACAGGAATGTGGACGTGTTTGTGGACAGGTGCGAAATATTGTGAATGATCTACAACTTCAGTCACTTCTTCTAACCCTCTTTTTTTTTTTTTTGCCAGATTTTTTTTTTTTTTTTACCAATAACCCTAATTGGGTTGTTGCTGGAAAACGGGTCAAATACCAGGACACTCGGTTCGCTAGAGTCGCAGTGGACTGAGTAGTAGAGTGTCAGGATAGGCGGACAAGGTCCAAGGGGCCGCTCTTAGTTCCAGAGGCCGATATAGGCCCGGTAGTGCTGAGGATAAATGATTAAGGAAGAGTGAAGAATAAAACATTCTTTTGTAAAGATAGAACCAGGAAATAAGGAAAGTACGTTATGAAGTTGAGCAGAGGCAATGAACTGCTCACATTGGGAAATGGATTTTTCGGTGGGTCGCGCGACCTTGCTTAGCCGTCGCTTCGCGCTCCGCTAAGCGTTACCGGGTTCGGCAGAACCCGAGCCGCCATTCAGGGCGCTACCATCACAGATATCGCCCTGGAGTCGTTCTTCCACAGGCCCCCCTCGTGGAGCACATACGGCGCAATTCTAGCCATAGGAGTGGACAGCAGGAGGAGGATGCGTGCCCCCCCCCCCCCTCTTAGTACCGAGGAATAGCAGTATTGGAATCGAGTTAGCTTGCTGTCGAAGTAAGTAAAAAGTGGAGGAAGAGAAACAGAAGTCAAACGGAGGGCGGAAAGATGGAAGCTACGCCGGACCAAGTAGCCATGGGGAGATCTCCCCCACCAGGCCCTTATGAGGAGAAGGACTATTGGGAGGACGAGGATAGGATCAGGAGTTTACTAGCACTGTGCTTCGATGATGGAGTTTACCCAACGGAAATTGACCCACGAGAAATGATAGTTGAAGGGAGGGAGGTCAGAATTAAATTAAACACATCGCTCGATGATATCAAGGTTAAATGGTTAAAAGAGCGAACAGTGACTATTATCTATAGGGACGTCGCGATATTTTTGCCAAGGAAAATCAAAGATGACTTGGTCAGAGCCTTTGAGGATGGATGGATAATTGGAAATGAAACGTTACCGCAAAATCAGAGGAGAGGGAGAATAAAGATAGAGGGACCAGGGGTAGCTTCCTATGTTGCTAAAACAAAGGAGGTGGCAAAGTTTATGATAGCAGAGCAAACCGTGGAAGTGGACCTAGGGAACGAATCCTACAAAGTTTCGTTTCAAGCCATGGATGACGCGTGCGGAGTTCAGAGAATTGAGGAAGCAGGAGGAGGATAGGGTCTTTTGGGTGATAGCACTTCAGGTGCCGCTCGATGACATGCCATTTATATATGCGCAAATGGAGAAGGCGGTAGGGAAGATCACACTATCGCACCCAACGGACGCAGATCCGATGAGACCGGCGCTGGTTAATGCCCGCTTCGACCTCGTCCCGGAAGCTCGATCGAACATGAAGGACGTCTTGTGCATTGAAATGCCGAGAGGAGATATACACTCGAGATTAAATTGGCGTCAGCTGACACGGTCAAGTGCAGGGCCTGCAAGCAGTTCTTCCATACAGAACAAGATTGTAGGAGGAACGGAGGGCAGAGAATGGGCGGAATGGGATCATCGCAGGGGCAGCATCGCAGTGCCCAGCCGCAGCAACAATCACCCACACCAAGGTATCATGGACCGCTTGGTCCGAGGAGTGGAGCCCAAGCACCGTAAGGAGCTGCAAGTCACGCTGGTCTCATGCGAAGTAATCCGACCTTCTCGCCGCAAGCCACGCGAGGAGGAAGTGTACAACAGGGGCAGCTGGGGGTCGGCCTCCCGGGCGGCCTGGGTGGGATGGAGCAAGGCTTCAGACAGACCGAAAGCCAGGGATCTTTTGGCACGGGACAAGGAGGCTTTCAAGGAGGAGGTCTTCAACAGGGACAAACCGGGGGGAGACTCACAGGAGTAGTCCCAGACGGGCTCGGGCAGTTCAATAATCAGGGGCAATTCGGGATGCCCAACTTTAAGGGCGGTCAGACGGTGGCATGGCAAGGAGGAGCAGTATCGGCAGAATGACTCTTAGCGAACGGCATCCACCCAGCTCTCTAGGAAGGTATGCTGAACTTGCAAGGGGGAGCACCGGCGGGAAGCCAAATGGGTGGGAATTCGCAACAACCATCATCGGCAACCCTTGGAACGAGGGGAGCACATGGGCCGTCCAACGCATGTAATTTCATTGGGGGTGGATTGAGAAATGGGTTCGGCGGCGGACAGGCGGGAAGAAGCACGGATCCAGAGGGTACGCCAAACAAACCTCGAGGTGCAGGGAAATAAAGAAGATTGAGTATGACGTCTCAACCGTCAGTCACACCAGAACCATCGAGAGCTTCAAGACTATCACGAAGCGGATCGGAAAGATCAGTGGGTCAGGAGGTAGGGATGGTGACGCCAGGTAAAAAAAAATGAGGGACCGAAGGCTGGCGTCGACTCGCGATTTGGGTACTGAACTCTCGCAGTACTTAGTGCCTCTCGTCTACACGGCCTTTCGGAACGTGCTTTGGGTGGCGACGTGGCAGAAGAACCAAGGTCAGTCACTAATTTTTGGACAAGTGGTAACAGAGATGCCAACAATCCTAGATATCGAGAGCAGTCTGAAAAACCTGTATCTGTACTCGATCCCAATGAGGATTATCCCAAAAATTGCGATGCCCAGAATACTGTTCGGTCCGTCAGGGAACAAAGTGAAGTTTTACGTCCCTCTGGTGGACGCCAGACTGACAGAAAAGAAGTTGGCGGAGCTCGAACCGCTTGGTTTGAGGTTAGTCCCTTTGGCCATCTTTGTGGAAGCCAAGAAGCAAATATTGGCGAGGTTCATGATCTCTCCGATTATGATGACGGCAGACGTCCTATCGGAGATGAAGATGAGGCTGCCAAAGGAGAAGAAACTGGACCCCTGCTTCTTAAGGGCAGCCCTCACTCAAAGTTGGCCCGAAGACCGATCAATCAATGCTCACATCCAACAGCAATAAGGAGCGGCGAGAGTGAATGGTTAAGATCAAGATAGCGACATGGAACCTCCAGGGCTTTGGCGATACAACCGGAAGGAGCAAACGGGCGAAGGTAAAATCCTGGCTGCATGATAAGAGAATCAAGATTGCATGTCTACAAGAGACAAAGCTAGACAATGAGAGAGTAGGGGAACTAGGAAGGTGGTGGGATGGTCCACAAATTTGGTCGGCGGCGCAAGGGACAAAGAGCGGTGTTGGGATCCTGATCCATAGGGATTGGGCAGTTCAAATAGTCGATTACTACGGGGACCTCTGGGGTCGCTGGGCCTGGGTGATTCTGAGGCAAGGGGACATCACATGGGCAGCAGCATCGGTATATGCCCCTGTGAGACGGAAGGAGAGGATCGCCTTCTTTGACGAACTGCGAGTGACTTTTCCAGATGTCGACGAGGTCATCATTGGCGGAGACCGGAACACAGTTCTGGACTCTCAGCCAAAACACAAAGACAAAGGATGCTCGAAGGATGTGCTCACGTTGGTAGACTTGATATTGGACCTTGACCTCTAGGATATCTGCAGGGAGCTGCGACCAGCAAAACCCGGATACACCTGGTTTTCACACCGGGGGAAAGGAAGGAGGCTCGACTATCTATTGGTGGGAGGAAGTCTGAAGAAACAGGTGATAAACGTGGAGGAAGTCATCAACCCAGTTTCGGACCACAAACCAGTTGTTAAACATTTCAACTTCGCCAAGGAACAACAGAGAGGCAGAGATTATTTTAAGCTCAACAATATGAACTTACAATGCGAAGGGTTGAATCGGTGGACCCAGGGGTTCTGGGAACGGTGGCAGAAGCAGAAAGAGCGATTCCTAACACTAGCCGAATGGTGGGAAGCGGGGTCAAGGATTTTGTCAAAGTTGTTGGATGTGTTCTCTTGGATACTCGCGCTGAACAGGAACAAAAAGGAAAAGAAATGCTGGAAGAGTGTACATGATGCAGAGGAAAAAATGAAGAGGCACCCCATATCAGAATTGACGTGGGGAAAGGAGCGAACCAGAAGGCTAGCGGAATGGGATGAGAAGCAACAGGAAAAGTCCGAGGTGTGGGCAAAAAGGCTGAAGATCAAGGGAATGGAGGTGTATGATAGAATGACTAGGGAGACCTTTCAAAAGCTGACACCGACAAGAAGCGCTCCTGTGTTGAAAGAACTCAGACATCCGTTTGACTCCAACGAACCAGCTGCGGTGGAACCAGAGGAATTATGCAGGTAAGCAAGGCTGTACTTTCAGGATATACTGACGTCAAGAAGGCAGGGGGAGGGTGCAGATATTGATCTGGCCGCCAATTTTGACCACTGGAATAACACGACAGTAAGGCTGCACACTCAGGGACGCTTAGACCTGGACAGTCCAATCACGAAAGAGGAGGCAGAGGAAGCCCTGAAAGCAATGGCGAATGAGAAGACTCCAGGTAACGACGGACGCCCGACAGAGTTCTACCGGCAACACTGGAACGTGTTGGGAAGCAACCTCGTAGAGATCTACAACGAGATGCAGATGGGAGGCAAACTATCAGACAGTGCCTGCCGAGGGATAATTTCCATCATTTTTAAGAAGGGCGACACAAGCGAAATCCGTAATTGGAGACCAATCTCGCTACTTAATGTCTCCTATAAGATCCTGGCGAAGGTGTTGGCACAAAGACTAGGTAGATATCTTCCGCATCTTGTGGAGGATGACCAGGCTTCATTCGTCAGGGGTCGCTTCATATATGAAAACATCGTGACTGCGGTGGAAGTGTTAGAGGTAGTGATTCAGGAGGAGTTAGACGTCAATGTCCTGCTGTTGGATATGGAAAAGGTGTACGACCGGGTAAACTGGTCATACGTCTTGACCTCCCTCAAATGGATGGGGTTTGGAGAAGTCTTCTGCAATTGGGTGGTAGGGTTGTATTCGATCTCCACAGCGTCAGTTATGGTGAACGGGAATATCTCAGTACCGTTCCGTCTGTCACGGTCGCTGCGCCAGGGGTGTCCCTTGGCGCCTTTGCTGTTCGTGGTCCATCTGGAAGTCCCACTGAACAATATCAGAACCAATCCCAAATTCAGGGAATAGACGTGGCTCAGCGGGTGTGCAAGGTAAAGGCGTTGGCAGACGAATTGTTTGCAGTCTCGGTCAACACGACTGAATCGCTGTCGGCCCTACGATACTGTTTGAGATAATATTAAATACTCAGTCTTAAGATTATTTTAGATGAAAATTGTGAGAGACTTATTTTTCGACGCTCTCATATAAGGACCAAGGTTAGTATGGGTATGAATCCCTAATAGTTATGGAATCTATAATATAACTGTGTCCAATATGTTAAGGATACCCTTGTCATCAACCCAATATAGTTGGGCTCGTTGGCGACAATGTAAACTTGTGATAATCATCCCAAGTAGTGTCTTTAAACACTCAAAGCATAATCTTCGAGAGCAATCATTGTTACATGCTAGAGAGACCTTGATACATGCTTACCTTCATATATACTTCACGTAGTATTGTTGTCTCACCTTCTATGCCTCATGACTCAATGTGGTCTACTGATGACAAGTGCGTTAGTAGTAAAAAGTGAAATTGGGGATACAAGGATGGGGGGGGAACCCTTAGAAGAGGATGACATGTTAATCATCGAAACTTGGTATCAGAGACGTTACGACTACGAGGTGATTCATAATCCTTTATGCTTATTAAGTCACGATGTGATTTCTACATGAACATTTATATTCACCTCTGTCTAAACCATCAATTTGACGTCCATGTTAGCAATAACTTGTTATTTGATATTCTCATTAGACTGTAGACAACCTTGACAATTCTGATGGAAGACAAGCTTAATAACATTACTTTCAAGCCACCCGTATGCAAGTTTTACTTGTCATCTCTGATGTTATCTCTTGCTTTGATTCGAGTTTCGTTACCTACTTAAATTATTAGCTTGACGAGTCTTTAATGCATTGATTAATCTTGAATGTCGGTGACTGTTTTACAAGTAGGGTGACTCAAAATCTACAGCTCACTATCATGGTTTATCCTCCATGTACCTTGAATATATTATGAAAGTTATAGTGTTATAATAAGTGATTCCTAGTAAGCTCCGATTATTCGAGTAAATTGAAACACTAGATCATAGCGTCTATTTCTCATAAGCACGTCATTTTTCTGTTGACTTTGGTTTGATGCGACCCGAGGACTGATGAAAACGCTTAAAACTTTTATTGTAGCGATGTGTCAACCCAAATGATTGAACTAATCGACATAGCTAGTAGTCGAACGAGAGATCTTTTAACCATTAACAAGCATAAAGGGAGATAGTTAACTTAATCTGACCTTACTTATACTTATGCTTGCCCAATTCTAATGGTTGATAGCCCGATCATTGTCCTTATTATCTCACCCCTTCCTAGTTTCTGCTTAGCGTTGCTCGCATCATGATTTCCTTAATCATATCGGCGTATTGTGTTAACTTATAGTTCCTGTTTAGCGTTGCTCACATCATGATTTTCTTAATCATATTGGCGCATTGTGCTAACTTATGTATTGCATTATTGTATCTCTTACTTATTAACTTCTACTAACCATAGGTTCGCGAGTGTTGTATTATCTATGAGTAAATATTCATTCGGTGTCCCACCTAAGACACACAAGTAAGGAATCGGTTTAGGAAGATGAGGTCGATAAGGAAGGTCACTATATGGGCCAATGTACTTCACAAGAGAGATAAAAAAGAAGAGAAAGGAGATGGTATGTGATTGTGCGGTTATCAAGGTGATCAACACAAACATACGACCTCCTCTATGGTGAATAGACTTAGAACCTTTTGCAAAGAATATTATATTGTTCCTTACCATGCATTAAATTATTTTCCTGTGTAAGATTATCCTCCTTCCATATCCATCATACCTCATTCTTGATACTTAACTGTCTTTCTTTAACTATCTCGCCTTGTATTTTCACCGCCATCGTGCGTCCT